ATGGATGAAGTATATTAAATAGACTAAATAAGTGATGAGCTCAAACAGAGCACATCCTGTGTTTTCTTCTTAAAACTCTTCAAATCCAACCTTTCTAGGAAGTTTTGCCTTTGGTTCTCCCCCTCATTTTGCCTTTTTGTCCTCCCCAAATCAGAAGGGCTATAAAATTAACTTCTACTGAAAATGAACTTTTCTTGAGAGCCAGTAAACTTCAAGCAATGCTGCTTCAGTCTAGCTAGATCAAGTTGTAAATCAATATATTAGTATGCCTTCTTCAGCAACGTGCACAGCATCTGTGCCGAAGATGATGAGACCTTTGGAGACTACAGCCATCAGGGCTGCCACAAAGGATTAGACCTGAAATCCAACAAGACCACCACTCTCATTCTTCATGGTGGCTGGTGTGAGATGCTTCAAGTGACAATGCGGTGAGATGTGGGGTAATTTGATCCAACCAGTCAGTCTTAGCCTGATCTCTAATATTTAGGAGCTACTTGAAGGACTGAAGAGCAAGGTTTAAACCTTAGCATTAGATGCATAGAATCATTAGATGCTTCCATACTCTTGTGTACCAGAGAAAAATCTCTGCTCTTGTTTCCAGTGCTGGAAGTGGTGCAGTGAAGCCAGAACTGGTGCACACTAAGAACAAGCATTTTGGAGCCTGAAAGCACCATTGCAAGACTCCTTTTTAAATCCATGAAGCACTAGGCATCTCTGTGGTACTATATGAATAAAAGTAAGAAGATGGACCTGAATACTCCAGCAAAAATAGAGTAAACAGGATTAAAATCAAGCACTTTTTTTTTTTTTTTTTTTTTTTTGGTAATATAACCTCCTTGCAGAGGTTATTAATGTTCATCAACAGGAAAAGCTGACTGTTTTTCCTTTCATTAAAGAAAACGACATTCAAATTGCAGAAAAGGCAAGATTTCTCTCTTCTGGATGCTATTAAATGACACAGGGAAGACTCCAAGAATAGACAGCAGTAAACATAGCTCCTTTTTTTTTCATTCTTAAATGGTCACTTATTGGAAAAAATAAGCATTCCCATGGCAGGAAGTAGCAGGATAAAATTCTAAGACCTGTTTAGTGCCAGAACAGATGATCTGATTTTTTTTTTTTTTTTTTTTTTTTTTTACAGATCCCATCCAATCTATCATCTTCAAATTTATTGAAATGCACACACTCCCCATTTATATTATTCCCAGCCTTCTGCAAGGCTCATTAAGTTCACAGGTGTTCTGAAGGCGTCTCTTTCAGACAGCACAATCTATAAAATGAATCACTATCTCCACGCGCATTGCAAGCACCCATCCCCGGCTGTTTGCTCTCTGACAGCGAGGAGCCAGACTTGCATGGGAAGGGTATTGCCACCCCACAAGGCCAGGGGACAAGAGAATTGCTCTTGCCAGCTTTACTTGCTCTTGCACAAAGGTCAGGCAAAACATTGTCTGCTTTAATTCATGTCTTCTCTGTTTTACTTTTAGCCTGTGAAACAGAGTAAACCACAGCAGGAGAAATATATTTAATTTATGCTTGAAAAATGCCTTATACTCCAACAGGTATATAAGGGTCCCCTTGAGAATGGATATTTTGTAGTTGTAAGCTACTCCTGGAGAAGAAAAAATAAGTAGATGATTTAAAAAGAGACTTCTCACAACATAAGGAACAGCTCAAGCATTACTGATAGAAGCTTTGGCATTATTCCTCCTAGAGACTTGTTTTAGTGTTTTACTATCTAAAGCAGCCCCTTGGGACTCCTGCACAGCCTGAGCATGTGGAAGGGCACATTGATAGAGTTTAAAGGCCAAATTCATTGCACCAGCAAGGGCAGCCTCTGGTCCAAACTGCGCTGTAATTCTCAGCTGATGGACCATCAGCTCACCACTTAATGTGCCTGAAGACATGCCTCCTGCTCACTCTCACCCTGACCTCTCTCCCCTTGGTCCTCCTATTTTGCTTTCTTGGAGAAACAATCAATAGGGTGAACATGAGAGAATTTCTGCCTCAGTAGGTGCCAGCCCAGGTGATTACTGTGGACAAGCTCAAGCCAAAGAAGTAAAATGGATGAAGTGATGGGCAGGGTGCCAGAGGTACTCAGAACCAAGAGAGATCCAGGCACACACACTGGGAGAGGCACGAAAGCACCTAAGCACTTCAGTGCCATGGACACCTCATTACTTCTGTGAAACCTTCTGTAAAGACATCAGGGCCTCCCCGATTAAATCATCCTTCAGGTCCACCTGGTACTTGGAAGACCCCATTTCTAAAGCTGACTTAACTTTAATCAAAGGCGAGTATCTTACCTGGAAGACTGGAGTTGTGGGTCTTAGCTCCACCTTTCTGGCAGCTGTAACTCACCTTACTCTCCATCAGCCATCAGTACACAACTGGAGAGTAAGGCTCCTCCCTAGCTATATAGAAGCAAACAGAAACACAACCTCTCCCCTCCCTAGAGCTGAGGGCCAAAAACAGTGTGCAGGGGGAATTTAGCCTAGCAGGTCTAAGATTCAGAAGGTAAATTCCCATTTTCAGAGAGAACTGAGGCTGCCAAGATCTTCTGAGGAGGTTCACCCTGCTGGAACAAAAGACGCAGTAAGAAACCTGAACTGCAATTAAAGAAATCCTCTGTCCTGCAGCAGCTGTCCTGCAGGTATTTCCCCAGCTGATTGCCCACCACGCCATTTTCCAAATTTCAGCTTACTTCAGTGAGGGGGTGCAAGCTGTTTTGGCGAGATGCTCCATGCTTGTGAACCTTCACATGCTCACAGAAGAGAGCTGAAACACCTCCCAGAATCTGGGGGAAGGTAAGGAAAAAAGATTCCTATAAAGCAAACAACGCCCACTGCCACTGGAAGAATGCCTACTGCTAAGCTTACATCAAACAGCCAGTGCTAAGTATTTCTTTCTAGAGACAGAAATGCATCCTGGGGAAAAATAAATAAATAAATAAAATAAAAAATGTTTTAGGCACTTTAAAGGCTCATTAAGCTTGCAGCTTAAGCTCTGAGGATGCCTTGGCTTGAACACTGCAGCAAATACCATGTTGACACTTACCATTATTGCTCAAGTGTCAGAGTAAAGCTTTAAATGGTTGAAGAGACCATGTCAGATGTGAGGATCCTGTGAAATGCTGTGAGGATGCCCAAGAGGGGCTCTCCTAGTGATGTCCACACTGACACCAACAGGGAGGAAAGGTAGGAACATCCACACTGCTCCAGCACTCATGAAATAACACAGCTTCTCAAAGCAGCTTGAGCGTGTACCCCTACACTCCAGCCAATGCCATCCAGCAGCGGGGAGCTGCATGCCAGTACTGAGGGGAGGTGTGTTACAGCAGGTGTGTTGTGATTAAAGCCACATTTTCCCTCCAATCTGAGGGAAAGATCAATATTTTCACTGTGGCTAATCCATCACTGGCAGGTTGGTCTTACTCAAGACGTGCTCAGAGCAGTTTTGCTGCTGCCTAGAAACCTTTTAATTTCTTTACGTGCAGCCACTTAAAGCACCTTTCTTTGAACTGGCATCTCCGGGGCTTGTTTTGGCTTGATTTGGTTTGCATCAGCAAGAACCCTTTCTTCTTCAACCCCCCATGACAAGGCACTGCATTTACCCAAATGTTATTGCGGGAAGCTTCCCAAGGCAGCCTGCTTAGGGATCTATTGCCTCAACAAGGGTCTCTATCCCTGTTTTAGGTGCCAGACTCCCAGCTGCCATGACAGAAGGCTGCGAGTCTCCTCTGTGTCCTGGCTCATCCGTGCCAGCACATATGGACGTGTTGCAGCTCCGGGGACAGCTGATGGGGCACAAGACCCTGATAACCAGGCACCTGGCCTGCTCCCTCCATGCCCTGTGCCAGCCAGAAAGGCAGCATTCATAATCTATTGTCCCTCCCCACATCTTTTTCCTTTGTACAAAAGATCCCACGTGCACTGATCTGAAGTTCTGATGTCTTCTGGCAGTCCCAAGTCTGTCTAGGGTCATTTATCATAAAATATGGCCAAAATAATATTGATAATTGAAGATGATAGATGGATGGATTTGCCATCTAAGTACTTGCAGAAGAAGAAAAAAAAACCAAACCATTCTGAAATACATAAACATTTGAATCCTAAAGAACAACAGGTATGAATATATAATGGAAGTCAGTTGGTGAATGTTTCTGTGCAATTGCTGCTGAAGTCTCTGATGCTGAGGCAGACATCTCCAGCAAACAAGCTGCCACGCACTCGTCAGTCACTAGGCTCCATGAAAAGAAGACGATTGCTGGATGCAGCTAGTTGCAAATGCACTCTCTGAGCGTCTCTGTCCTTCACTGCCGTAACCCTTGGTCAGGCTGGAATTTTCCAATGCTATGTCATGTGTTTGACTTCAGGTGCCTCTCTGAGCTTCTTACAAACTAAATTTCCCCCAGATCCTTAAAACAAAGCTTTGGGAAAACAAAATATCTTTTTAAGGACTCAAGTCAGATACTGAAAGCCCAGACATGTGGAAACACCAAACCATTTTTAAAACTTCAGCTTCTGTCTTCAAAGATCTGACATACACACTAGTGTTTCTAGCAAGGAAAAAATGCAAAGAAAGCCACAGAATATTATCTAGGAAATGTGTTGTGGGAGACTGATAAACCAGATGTGCTGTCACTGGTTTACTGTCAGTCAATCACTGCATTTGTGGCTGATCATTTGGATAGATTCATCTGCATACAAAAACCGTACCACGTCATCTCATCTGAAAACACTTTTGAAACAATCAGGCAGAACAGTTAACAGGGAGGTATCCCTCACTGCACATCATTGTCTTTAAGGCATTAACAACCAAAATTGAACATACGTCAAGTATTCGTATAAAAGAACTAGATTCCTTACAGGATTAACAAAGAAAACAACAAAAAAAGCAGAAGAACATTTATCTTAAATTGTTAGGACTATTGCAAAGCATTAGGCTTATGCTACCATTTCTGAACTCTCCATTCCAGTTTCACCCCGCCTTTTATTTACCTTGAATCCCCAAAGGACTAACATTGCCTCTCAATGCTGGCACATGATGGTACCGGTGTGGCCTTGAACTCCTGTACATCCAGTGGTACCTGCCAATTTCCATTTCTGGTCTGGTGATCACTGCCAATTTTAGGTGGTAAAAAGTCAGTGTCACCAAAGTTTGTAGTTCAGCACTTTCAGTCATTTAACTTTAAAAATAAGAGCCCATTAAAACACACTGAAGTTTCATCACTGAAATAACGTAACTTTACCAAAACAAGGGAGAGGTTGGGGGGACAAACAACAGGGAAATGTTCATACAAATATTAAGAAGGGTTGAACAGCTGGAACTCCAGCTGGGATTTGAATTAAACCCACAGGAAAGGTCCTCGGTGGCCAGTCATTCCTCCTCACCCCCGCCCCGTTTCTACCCCTCCTTGTTCATGGCAGGGAATGAAAGAAGACATAGCCATGGCAAAACATGTTATCTGGTTCCTAAAAACTCCAAATCTGACAAAGAGAATGATTAATATCACATGTCGAGACAAGTCAAACACAAAAGCTCATTCTGTTAGTTTTTTTTTACATAAAAAAAAATAAATTGTGGGTTTTGTTTTGCATAGGCTCTGCTGATTTGCAAAATTGTGGACCAAATAAGTTAAAAGAGGCTTATTTGAGGGTTGGAGGGAGCAGGAGCTGTTATCCTTCTACCCCTCTTTTTGGGGCCCAGAGGACAGGCACAGCATCAACATTTCCCCCTCGCCTCCCTCATGGCGCTGCCGGGCTGTCAGGACAGGATGACCTGGCCATTCCTTGTAATGCACTGCAGCCCCCTCAGCCCCAGTGAAATGTAAAGGTAATCACCCTCCCTGGCCAAAATAAATATGACTTCACAGCATTTCAGTAAGTGGAGGAAGTGACGGTTACAATGTCAGAAGCCATGTATTGTGAGTTAGGTCCAAGGCAAATTTCTGGGGGGTAGGAGCTGGAATGCCATACATTTTTGGGCTGTGAGGGCCCCGGTCCTTCTCTCAGGTTGTTTTGTTGCTGGTGAGTTTGGCACAGCTATATTTGCATATGTCAGAAGAGAAACATCTTGGCTTCGAATCCAAATGGTGGATCTAGAGGTTTGCAACAGGAATTTGTCCATCTCCTACACCAGCGAATGAACTCTGGTGCTAAAAGAGCCTCTTGGGTTGACACAGACATAGTACCAATGGCTCAGTAAAGGCCACTTCATGGTTTGCTACTTGTCCCCTCTCCAGTACTCGCACGCAAACCATCAAGCAGTGTGTCTTTCCTAAGAGGCATTGCTTGACTTTGCATAGCTTATCCTTCCTCTTTGGAAAGACAAACGCCACATTTTATGAAGGCAACCAAATTTAGAATGTCTTGAAGCTATCATTCCAAAATGACTGTGCATGCTCAGGAAAACTTCCGTGATGATATCATCTCCTCCTGCTTACACAGGAACAATCCCGCTCATGAGATCACAAAAAACACCGTAATAATTGAATTTGATACAAACTGGAAAACAACAGCACTGCTTGCTGGTACTGCGTACTGTCTGCCCCCTTCCTGCTCCCTCATATTTTTGAAGCTACTTACTGGACATGAGTAACAGATTCAGATTTTAATAATAATAATAGCCAGCTGGCAAAACTTCTGGGAAGAAAAAAAATTTCAATTGCTTTGCAGGAGCATTTAGATCACATCCTTGGCACCACAAAGGTCTTATCCTGCTAGGCCAGAACCCACAATTTGAGATTTCTCTTGTGGCATCTACAAAAATGACTTGCTGAAAGCAGCAGATGCTGGCACAGTCACTGCCTACTGTGGGACCAGCATCAAACACCGAAACGTGGAGTTAGCATGCAAACTTTGCAGCATCTTTTCTGTAAGCGAAAATAATCTTTTTTTTTTTTTTTTTTTAATTAGTCATTTCTGGCTTTGCAAAAACAGGGCTCCTTTCATAGGGCGGTGGTTCAAATTGCATGAAGAATCTCAGTTTTTCCATTGCTCTGCAAAGAGACACTTAGCAGCTGGCCGCTTTATGGCCTTCACTGCACGCATGACGTGACTCCTGAAGCCAGAGAGTATCTTCTGGTGACTTCTCTGGGCTCCACAAAGGTCCATTTGTGCAAAATCACCACCAGGTCAGAAGCTCCATAGGCTTCAGTGGTGTAACAAACACCACACACAGTACAGAAAAAAGGAATTTTAACTCTGCTCCCCAAAAATTCAGATGACGACTGCTTTATATTTATTTTTTTTTGAGGAACTAACGATACAAGTTGCATTTCTAGGTGTAGGTGAAGATGCCCTCTGTGCACAGCCGTGCTCATTAAGGCATCCTGTGCTGGATCCCACGCAGAGCCAGCAGCTACAGGACCGACAGTGTTTGTGTGTCACACAGTGCAGACACGCTGATGGCGACTGGGGCGTTCAACATGCATTTTGGATGAATCATCTCACATGCCTGCAATAAAATTTGCGGTGTCCAATGTCCTCAACTCTTGCTGTCTCTAGCATATGGCTTTAGAGGAAACAAACAGTTTGGACTTTCACCTGTGGCAGCCAACGAAGCAGTGTGTGGTCCATGGGAGCAAAGAGGGGGTTATCACTGGGTCATTTATGATCTGACAGCCTGGTGATATATACTGCACCAGCAGCAGGGCTGGTCAGAAAATGGGGAAAGGCTGGAGAAATAGAATAGGGCTCCCCTCTCCAACAACTCTGCTCCCCTCTCCTGCTGCAGTCTATTGTCCACAGACATCGCCATCTGGGTTTCTTTCCCTGTTACCATATACTGTGGCACATATGTCTAGGTTTTCTGCTTTCATGAGGTCAGTCAGGCAAGTATGAGTACAGTCTCTGAGCGTTTTTCAACCCCCTCCTATTTAGAAGCCAAATCCTATTCATTAAAACCTAAATCACTAAGCCTGCCAAATTATTATCCCCAGAATATAGTGTGTCCCAGATTCTCCCTGGACTGGACCTCTTTCTACAGTTGTATTCTTCAGGGACTTATACTAAAGCAGTTATTATTTTCTGGGGATCTGAAACACCAATAAATTGTTTGAAACAGGAACAAGTATACAGCACACTAAAAATCTTTAAATGGCTTCATAGCTCTGAAAGTATCCCCTAATGCTAAGCTCATGCAATCCACTTGAAAACTTTGGCTAATAACTATAACGTATGTTAAAAAGATGATTTTTTTTTTTCAATTTGCTGTAATAAAAAATACATCTATTGGTGATGCATCAAACTGTCATAAGTTCACTCCACAAAAAGAACTTCACTAAAAGTGAAGTAAACTGCATGTTAATTCAGGCCTTTCTCAAGTCACACCCCAGCATCTCTGTTCAACTGCAAAACACAGTTGTGTTTAAGCAAAGTATCTTCTTCATGCTGTTGACTAGCACATACTTACCTAGTTAGAGTTTAATACTGGAAACATCGCTTTGTATTATCACGAATATAATAACTGAAGATCACAGCCCTTCCTGTGCACAGGGTTGTATTTCAGGGAGTATCTTATTAGGCAACAGCCAATTAAAATGAACCATTGACACAGCTGTTGAGGTTGGCTTTCATTATTCCTAAGTATAGCAAATGCAATTTGTACATAGTATGCATCCATAGAAGGAAACTATTTCCAAGTATAATAGCTTTTTTCCATGTGTAAATGGTAAATTCACTGTGGCCATCCACAGCCTTTTTTGGTTGGTTGTTTTTTGTTTGTTTGTTTGTTTGTTTTCTCTTTTTGGTGTGCGTTGGGGGGAATTTTGCAGCTTGGTAATATTCCTCTTAGTTAAATGGAAAGGGGAACTTCTTGTCTCTGCTGATGTGTATCAGGATCTATATCATTCACTGCTGATGCAAAAAGGCATTTCGTTTTTCTTATTTATTCCACCTCAGTAAATCTGCCTGCCCAGTCCTCACGTTTTGATTTAATTTAATGCCTGCAAGATAAGCCCTGTCATTTGTAATAATTTGTAAACCTTCATCTTTAAAATGCATCCAATCTGTCCTGCAGCCCTGTAAAGGATCTGCTAAACATTTTGCTTGAGTGTGCTCATGGTGTTCTCTGATAAGGGCTGCTGATATGCAATGTAAAGCTGACTTGCTTCTTATCTCCATCAACATGGGCGTTGTTCCATTTCCAATTAAAAAACTGGGGCAGCAGCCACTCATCTGGGTGCAGAGGAACAAATGCCTGATAAGCACTGAATCCAACAGCTGGGCAGTATCATTGCCTGAATCAGGCAGGGGGCTTGCAAAAATCCTTATTAAAATACAAAGCTGGAATTCACATACAATTCAGCAAACTTTGGAAATGTAAATAAGATCAATCTTTTTCATTTACCAGTCCGTAAATATTCATAAAGCCTATTAGCTTGCGTAAATTGTCTCAATTATACTGCGGTCCAAAATAGCAGGCCTTCCACATTTGCCACAGGGATGGGAAACACAAACTGGTACCTACATGACACCTCTCTCCAGTTGCAAATTGTATGAGGTGCTCGAACTCAAAGCAGACCTCAGTGCCTGGGTGGTTTTGTTCCCCTCTGTTCCCCTCCGGAGCACAGGAGTTTACATAGATAGCATGCAATCGTATCCTCATTTCCTCAAAGTATTTGCATTTGGCAGTGCAAAGCACCCTGCATGTGGACCTGAATATCCAACGCGAAGTGCTCGGGATCTTTTCTTGCCCAGTTTTAGCAATAACATCTCCTTGGACTTGGCCATTCATTTCTGGAAGGAAGAGTTAAAATATTGTGTGACAGCTCTTCCATTGCTCCAAGCTGCCATAGTTGCCTTGCAACCACTGGACCTAGTGCATTTCATAAAGGGCAGTTACTGCAGTAAGCTCAGGTGTGATGTAAGAGGAAAAAGGAGCTGTTGCAAGCCTGGCAAACCTTTCGATCAGGAGATCCGGTCCCCTTTTGAAGAGGTCAGTTGCTGTTTTGCACACCCAAACAAAGCAACAATATTTTCCAGGAAGTTTCTCCACACAAAGAAAAAGCCCATTTTTCACCACAAGGGCTGCTGGTGAAAAAGCCCTTTTGCATAAGCCTGCGATTTCCCTGAGGCACCTGATGCCTGCTGAGCCCATCTGAAACCCGGCTGGACCACGCAGTCTCAGCATGCTGGAACATCTGCCCCCCAAAAGCTCTGCAGACCTCCTCCATCAGCAAGCACTTCATGGCAGTAACTTCTCATGGGGACCTGGGCTATTTTACTACCGAAACTAAAAGTAGAATTGACTGTTTCAGCTTTCTGCATTTTAATTCACTGTGAAACATATTTGGAAGTTAACTGAATGGAAATAAAGAGCATAATGTGGGAGACCATGTGTTACTTTCAGAAATTAAGGAACTGTCATGAACAAAGCCCCGAAGTGTTACATAAACATACCTAAGTAACATAGCCAAAGTATGAAATTATCACAGAAAAGCCAGGAAATGGTGGTGAAATTAAGATAGGAAATTCCCCAGGCTGCATCCTACAAAAACAACAGATCAACCACCTTGACTTGGTAACAGATTTACTGTTCTACATGTTGTGCTTTCACCCTTGCCAAAATAAAAAGAGAAACTATAAACTCATCCTAAACACTCTCAGCAACACATTTTGTTTTGCACAGCTGCTGACACATAAAGATAACTTTGGTTTTTATTGTCATGAGTTCTAACAGTTTAAAAGAAACTCATCAGTCATAAGAAAAGAAATCACTGTAATTTTTGAAGAATTATCTGTGAGCTTCAGGTGGTTTAATAGCCAAGGTATTTAGGACATTTTGTATATTAATTACTCAAAAACTGCAGCGAGGTGGGTTACTGCCCACATACACTAATGGCTTTCAGAGTTTAATCTCTCATCAGTGGAACTCCTTTTGTGAAATCCCTAAGGGATTATGTAGTACTATGTCTAATCACTTGACAAATTTCATTTACTTGAAACTGAAGCTAGGTTTGAATTATACAAAGTGTGTAGGAGGGATCAGATTCAAAGCAGCAAAATAGAATCTGGTACCGGACAGGATCAGATTTATCATTACATTCGTATCCAAACTGTTTAACAATAAATGAAACGATTTTCTCAGTGAAACCTATTAGTTGTGTATCAGCTGCATATGCCTATGAGATACTCAAATTGCTTACAAACAGCACACAACATAGCATGAATAGCATGAATCATGTAAAAAGGCAGTGGAGATTTTAATAATTTTGTATTATTTAGCAAAAAGCTTGTTGCTATGACTTGTACAATAGCCTGCTACTCTGTGAGGAGAGATTTATTTGGCATGAATTACATGATGCAGAAATAAAATGGTCCTTGGGTAGCTGCATCTACCCCCTGAAGTTGAGCCCTCCAGACCAAAAGCACCACCTGTACCGCTAGGATGAGCAAAGCACCTCTCCCATGCACTGCCACCTCCCTGCTGCACAACGGCTACCACCAGCTTGTTTTCTCCATTAAAGAGCAATTCTTGGTGGTTAAACACATCCCGAAACCTAACACTGTGAAACTCATGGCATTATTCTCCATTTCCAGAGAGCAGACAGATCTCCACATGAACAAAACATGCCAGAAAACACCACAGAAAATGAAAAGGAATTTAAAATTAAGAGTAGTATTTGGCAACAAGCTAGCTACAGGAAGGTAGTGTGATACTGGAGTCTCCTGGATGTTTCTATAGCTGAGGTCTCCCGCACTGCCAAGCCCCGCTACACGGCGGGTCTCGGTGGAAACGCCGGGTTTCGGCTCCAAAAAGGACACGCAAACACACAGCCACACGCTCCCTCCAAACCAAATTCACCAAAGCCTATCAAGGACACAGCAATGACAAGACTTCTTTTACAGAAAAAATCATTTCTGGTCCGCTCAGGAAAGGCTCAGAGCAACCGTATGCTCAGACAGACGGACAGACCGCCGCTCCATCGCCGCGCTGCCGAGCCAGCAGATGCGCTAAGGGTTTCTTGAGAGCCCTTCTGAAAAGTGACCCAACTGGCCTGAACCTCTCTCAGCGCCCTCAGTGAACGGATTTAAACAGGCTATTGTTCGACCCCCGGGTACCTTTTTTCTCTTGGCTTTGTTCTGCATTTTCCTCCGCTGCAGTTTCCATGGCTGGCTTCATACCATCCACCAAAAATGCCGCCCCCCCGCCCCCCCGGCACAGGCTCTTTCTCCTCGCCTCCTTTCGCGCTCCCTTCCGTCTCCTATTGAGGGCGGCGGTGACGGAGCGCCTCTGTTCTCCCTCCCGTGGATCACAGCCCCTTCCACATCGCCCAGACTCTTGTCAGCTTCGATTTCGCTCCGCTCACTGGCCCGCCCGGCACAGTGCCAGCCACCGCTCCGCCGTACGTCACCGCCGGCCCCGGCTATAAGAGAGCCCCCTGCACCCCTTCCCCGCTCCCTGGCATAGGGGAACCGCTCCCCTGCGGTGAGCGATGGGGAGGGGAGAGGAGGGTGAGGAAGAAAGGAGCCCCCCCGTCGCCTTGGAGGGGAGCGCAGGCCAGAGCACAGCCGCAGGGCTCGCTTTCCCGTGGGACCCTGTCGCCACGCCGCGCATTTTGATTTATTCCGCATGCCCCCTGCCCTTGTGAGGGATGGGGGGCGAGGGGTCGACACCGCTTGTTTGCTCCCCTGGCTAAGTGAGTCCCGCTTACACGAGGCAAAAGCACGTAGGGGAGAGGCATACGAGCAAGGGTGCCTGTATCTGTAAGGAAAATCTAAATTATTTCTCTGACTCGTGAGCACAATGGAAAAAAACAAACAAACAAACAAAAAAAACCACATAAAAATCACAGCAGGCAGAAAGGAGACAAGCTGAAGTGACCTAAAACGTATGTGCAATACTGTAAAGGATGAAATGTTGAAAAAAACACAGCTTGGGGTTATAAAAGGATGCCTGCCATTCGAGACCTAAAGCTACACACAGAAACGAGCGCATTGTCGCCGCGAAGGCCGGGTGCGATGGCTGCCCTCCATGCAGCACTGCCCGTGGCATGGCACCAAACTGGCTCTTCACAAAGCAAAACCAGGCCGTGGCCATGCTGCTCCGTACAGGGCCACCTCAGGTGTTCCCCAGCCTGCTCTGGGGAGCCAACATGCACACGGGTGTTATTCAGCATCCAAATCCCAAGCCGACACATCCAAGGCACAGTACTAAGGCTCATGAGCCTTGCCCACCACTCTGCTCGTCTCAGTGGCCTGTGGCATGCCATGCTGCACAGGGTGGCTGTGCCCAAATGCACCCCTTGCTGTGTGCAGGGTGACAGAGCAACCAACGAGCGATGGGCTTTTTGCAATCTGGCAGGTTTCAGCACTTTTGAGCCCCTGCGGCAGATCCTGCAGGCTGCAAAAGCGCCAAGAAGATTCAGCGAATGCTGAAGATGTTAAAACCTACACGCTGCATGTTCCATATAGCGGATTCAACCAGGAGAGTGGGAAGAGGGAAGCAGGCCAAGGATTTGTAGCTGCAATTCAGCCTTTTCTGACTGAAGTTACTACACCCACAATTTTGCTGTGCATTTTTATTTCTATAGATGTCTAGTGAAAAGCACAAAAAACCTCAGACCCTTTAGAGAAAGTTCCCTTCATTTGCAAGAAAGCAGTGCACAAATCTCCTCCCTCACCAGTGTCACCACAACAGCAGCTGAACAGTAATGCCCAAAGCAAAGTAACAAGCACATCATGCCCCAACCCCATTGCCAAGAGGGCTTGTGCTCCTCACCCATCCTAAGACTTCACAGCACAGCACCAAAACTTGATGCTAGGCATTTACCTAAAAACCTTTCTTGAAGTCCAGGAAGAGTCTGTGCTTGAAGCTCACATCTCAGCAGAATGTCTTATGAGCAAGATGAAGCTAATTTGTAGAGAAGATGAAGTTTCCACAGGAACCCTTGTGCAAGGCTCTTGCAGGTAATCAAATCAGCAGCCCCAGCAGAAACCTCACCCCCTGTGCAAGGCTTATTTCGCCAGCCTGCTATAACACACACAGATCAGCCCATAGACACTAAAATCCCTGCCCCAACGAGATCATGTAATGCAAACATGCTCCTTCAAGGAAGCACCTGAATGGTGAAAACATAGGTGACATGTTTCCTGTGTTGCTTTAACCATTACTAAATGTTTTTCAAATTCTGCAGTCAGCAAGGAAAAAGAATTTGGGATAATGATTATGCAAAGTAAACCTTCTATAAAGTGTGTTTCTTTCTACCATTTACCATCAGTAAGATTGAAAATACATAGCAAACACACCCTACTTGCTGAAAGTCACATTGATTTTAGCCATTGGTCAAAGCAATTGACTGCTCCTGACACTGAAATTCCTTTCTTGGAACTTCTCATCATTCAGTCTGTGCTTCTGGAAGCTCACAGCTGTGACAGGCTACACCTTGGGTTGTTAATGACCTTCACTCACTTTGGAAGGTAAAACAATTAAAGGATTGAAACCTCACTTCTGACTGCCCTGAGTTACAAAAACCCTGTTCAGAAAATAATCTGATAGCTCTAACATTAATATTCCAAAGTAGTATAAATGCACAGAAAACACAACTGTCACCTGGAACTTCCTTTCTTTAAGCAGAAAGTACATTCAATGAATCTTTGGTTCTGCCCTTGGAAGAAACCCTTTACCAAATCCCTTTCTCTCGGTCACTGAAACCTACTCCTTCAAACAACTGCATGCTTTCCCTCTGCCAAGCAGATTTTGTTGGGCAGGCTCAGGACTTTTTAAGCATGACAGAACTAAGAAGCCAGGAGAATATTTCCCCCTACTTTCTCCTAGGATAATCCCTTCACCAAACTAGCAATACAAAAGTAAGAGCATGGTACCAAAACTCCTGGAGACCCTGAAATGAAGACTTCAGAGGCCATCAACCTAAACTATTCAGAGGCATTAATTCTACTAAATCATCCTCTAAAAGCTCTAAGTGATGCATGATTGCACTGTTCTCCCCCACTGTTTACTGCTTTCCAGGTTGCTGGAATGTATGATGGGTTTTATGTACTTATCATCTTAAGTAATTTCTTAATCTTACTCCTTGTCCCCCCATTGGTAAGCACAGCAGATAGAACAAACCATAGGCTATTTCCTCCAGTGCTAACACAAGTGTGGATCTTGCACATCACATGTTAATCTCAGCAAATTCTCTCCTCCATCACCCCCTCTCCAAATCAGATATATCATTCTCATAATGCATGATCAAACCGGGAGACATCAAGTCTTATGCCTATGACAAATGGCAAAAGACAATGACACAAAGGTGGAAAATAACAAAGACAAACAAACAAACAAACAAACAAAACAAAACAAAAAACCTTTGAAGACTGAGAAGACTGATACTTAGCAAAAACCTGCTGTACCAACCAGGCTGATTTAGGTAACCAGTGACCAGGAAAGGTGGCTAGTTACATTTTAGGAGTTCAGCCCAGCATTTTGTTTGCAGACCAAAATAAAAACGAAAATGAGGAGAAGGGCAGAGCAGCAAGGGATTCTGCTGCTAATGCACATGTCCTTGGGGAAAATCATTCAGACTTGGGGAAAGTAATTCAGAATCCTGACAGACAACACAGCTAAAACGTACAGCCAGACCCCATGAAGAACAGCAATGGAGCAAAATATGAGAAGGCACTGCAGACCAAGTGACGCTCACCACAAAATAGCATTAAAGAGGTTTTAATCTATTTTACCTAGCTTAAAAAAACAAACAAACAAACAAACAAAAAAAACCATTTAATCATTTTGCTCAGTCTGCTCAGTCAAGTAAAGCACTACAATTGCATGGGTTAAAATGATATTAAAAATCCAATTCCATTCATGTGTCAATTCTGTCAAACATCTATCTTTAATGTCACTGAATCTAGTTTACATTCCTGAAGGCTAAAGAACTCTATCATAAGCTAGGGAAAATTCTTTAGGTTTAAGCACATTTTTGCCATTTCTACAAAACCTTCACAGAGCTGTAATAAAGAGTGTTCCCAGATAGTTCAAGAACAATTTTAGACCATCCTATGAGATTTGAGATTCTGAAGTTAAAATTCAGAGGCTGTTCCTCAGACCACAGTGACGTATTCCAAACAACTAATTTTAAAGACACTTGTAGTGTGCATGTTTTAGAAAATATGTAAAAATATTCAAGAGAAGGAACAAATACACATACAGCCACTTGGTGCATCTCAGTATAACTGCTCACAGTCAGACCTGTTTTAGAGCAGTTACCTAGGCTTGAGTATAAAATCCACTCTGAATGCTCATGCAAAAGCCAGCAAATTTTCCATGTGGATGAAATTAAAGCATGAAAACAGGCTTTTAGTTGTGCAGCAGTCAAGTACCTGGCAACTACTTTTTAAAAAAAAAGTCTGGGACCCATTCTTCAGACATATTAGATTACTAGGAAAATGAAATCCTAATTAGTGATCTCATGAACAAATAATGGTGGAAAAAAACTGCACTTTTACCACATCACAAAATACAGACTATTGAAAAAATATGAGCCTGCACTGCAGTTTAGGGATCTCAGTCTTGGATTTCTGTGCAGGGGCAAAACTGAAGACTTAAGCCTGGAGAGTAGTTATCCCTGCAACCTAAGGAAATGCTGAATTCACTGATGCAGGTGCTCCAGGAAGATGAGTAGAGCTTAACAGTGTGAAGGTGCCAGTCCTGTGACCCCTTTCATGAAGCCACGTGAAGATGGCAATGACTGCTGCCAAGCTAAACGCCTGGCAGCAAGCAAGCAGGCAAAGGAGATGTTGTTCAGTTGTTGGGTTTCATGCATTTCTCTGGCTGGCCTGCTAGCTTCCAGCTGGACTGCAGCTTTGGCCCATTGCAATCATCATCACTGGGGAGAATCATAGGCAGGAAACGGCCTGAACCAGAATGCAGATGGATGGCTTTATTTGGAACATAAAGGAAAAAAAGAATACCTTAAAGACTGAATAGGTGGTTCTAAATAGCTTTTCCAGTAGCTAAGCCTTGGACAGTCTCAAGACCTAGTCTCAAAAAATAATCAAATGGCAGAGATGTGAAAGCTACCAAAGACAAAAGCCCAAAGAGCTATAATCAAGGTCAAAACGAAAGCAAAAGTAGATGATGTTCTTATAAGCAGCTGGAAAATCCATTTCTGCTTATGAGAGGCAGGCAATAACATGTAAGTAATTTAAAAAATGATATATATTTGCTAGTTATTATTTCTTTATCCAAAGCAATGGCTTTAAAACACTTTTTTTTTTTTTTTTTTTTTTGGGTGGGGGGGAGGGGAGGAAGAATGGGGGTGAGTAAGAACTGTAGTCATTTGAA